TGTGAAGGTAATGGATTAACCTCAGACAGGTGCATTAGCAGAGATACTGTCGCTTTTCGAAAACGCCTATTTTGTAAAACGATCGGCCGGATATTTTTGTGTTGCAGATGTTTCAGAGGGTTTTTTTTTTGTTGAATAATCCCCGTCTTTAAAATGGAACCTTTGGATGTTTCTGTGTGCATGTGAGACAGAATGAGGCAGAAGCGCTCACATCACATAATTATGTACACATCAATTCCTTGGTAGCATTCCTGATACACGTACGCGCGCACACACACACGCACACACACACGTAGAGCTAACTGCTGCTGCACATTGTCCAGCCATGTGACTCAGACGGTATTTTATGTAATATCTCATACATACAGTACCAACAGTGCTAAGGTAGCTATGTTAAGAATGGTGAGCTCAGCAAACACACACACACACACACACACACACACACACACACACCCTCACTATTTTCTGCTTACTCCGGTTAATGAGTCAGAATCGGTGGATCATTTCGTTTTTCTATGGAAAGATCATATCGGTTTATCAATATTTTTAAGTGTCATTATAAGGCCCACTTTGATGTAGTTTATCACGAACCGTGGGAAGAAATGGCAGCTCATTATGTGCACAAAATTCAAAATAGTTTGGATTATATAATAATAATAATAATAATTATAAAGTTTTTGGGTTTTTTTTGTGTGTAGGATTTTTGTCATGTTCAGAAACCAAAACATGAAATTTGTTAAAAGAAAAAGGGTACAATTCTTGTGAGCATAGAGTGTTAAAAAAAAACAAACAATTTCACACACCCCAAATAATGAGTGTGCGGGGGCGGGGGGGGGGGGGGTCCAGAGGAAATTTTTGATTTTTTTTTTGTCATGTTTTTGAAAAAATCTATTTGTATTAATCAGGAAAAAATATTTGTGGAAAAAAATTGAACATGAATCAAGTCATTTATTTGGAGGGTTTTTTTAAATAGTAAAAGTAGCATCCATGTCCCCTTTTTTTATTGTTTTTGCACCATTTTCCAGAGGAAAAATTTCACTATTTCAAGTAAAAGAAATTTTTTGTTTTGTTTTTTTTTAATTTCAGAAAAAAATGGCAAACTCAGTTAAAAAATGATTCAACAAAGAATTAATTTGAGCAAAAAGCATTAAGCTTGCAAAAATAACTTTTTTTGTTTGTTTGTTTTGGTTTGTTTTTGTTTGTTTTTAAGAAATCATCCATCAATGCCAGTGACGCATAGTGACAGAGTGACAGACATTCCTTTTCCACTCGATGGCAGAGAGTACAATGACAATTACCCTGCATGTGAATCCCACCTGTTGACGTCCGTTTGTATTACTTCTAATTATTTCAGGACACTTTTGATTACAAGTACCTCAAAAAAGCTTAGGGGAAAACTGGTGTGCACTCTCGTGATGCTTCCAGTGTTTGCACCAGTTGTGCGTGTGATTGGGTGGCTGCTATCCAGACACTACAGTTACTTTTCACAAAATGCATCTCGTCTGTTAGCGTGCGTGTGCGCGCGCGCGTGGCATCTTACGTTCTAAACAGAAGGTGTTGAAGCCGCGTCCCTCCGCCGGGCTGTCACTGCACGGAGACCCTCATCATCATCCTCATCCACTCTCCCGCGTCCCACATGTCCCGCTGCTCCCAGCCCGCCTGCGTGGGAACAAATCACGGTGCCGCGCGATCAGCCACGACTGCATAGCCGCCACTATCTTCTTATGCAATCAAACTATATAGCATCAAATCATCATCATCTACTCGCCTGCGCGCGCGCTAAACGCTGGTGGTCGTATAGTGGTGGTGGGGGTCCTCCTCGGTGAACTCGGGGCTGATCCGTGGAAACTCGCCGAGCCGAAGGTTTCGGTCCAGCCTGGCCCCTGTCTGCATCCTTGAATCAGGGGGAGCTTGGAGATGTGCAGGAGTTATGAATGAAAAGCGCACGCCATTGGACACACCCACACTACCCGCCCGTGGCTGCTTCCGACGCACCACGTGACCAGCCCTGACGATGCTGCTGCTCTTGATGATGATGATGATGATGCGAGATGGCGGAGACTCCCCATGCATCCCCCCCCCCAACTCTCCCGCCCACCCTAAGACACCCCCCGCCCCCTCCATTCACAGCTTGCTGCCATTCATCGTCTTACAATCGATTAGAGGAGGTCCTTCGAATGTGGTGCACTTGATTCAGACGCATTATTTTATTATAGTCTTTTATTTATTTACGTCAACGTGTTTTTCCATCAGTCATAGCAGCGATGAACGTCATCATGCAAAGACGTTGTTGTAGTCTGAACTTTCACCAGATAGTGGCAGTATTGCGCCATCAGCAAGACCGGCCAAAGCCTCCATTGTGGCCATGAGGCAAACATTTAAGTTTGGGGACCGATATAATATTTCTGCCAATAACTTTAATGATCAACCCATTCATTGTTTCCAAAAAAAAAGTGTAATTATTTTTTAAAGACACTGTATGAGTGAATTTACAGGTGATATTATTTCAAAGTGATAAACCACTATAATAAATTAATATCTAGATCTACTAAAAAGTTTTAAAAATGAAATAGTATACTATACAATTGTTGTAAAAGTGTCATCTCGTGTATTATATTTGGTTTTGAAATCTGCAGCAATGTGCAAAACTGTAGTGCAACAATTAATGAAATCCATCCATCCATCCATTTTCTGACCCGCTTTATCCTCACAAGGGTCGCGGGGGTTGCTGGAGCCCATCCCAGCCTTCTTCGGGCAGTAGGCGAAGACAGCTACTGCATGGAGTATGTGGAGGCAAACCTGGACTGGTTGGAAAATAAGATGAAGGAACACCTGGACTTACTTCTTGTTTGACTGCCCCAGGCAGGTGGAGCTCTACACACACCAGAATTCAGTGAAAAATATATTTTTGCAATTGGGAAAGTGGAATTTCTGGGTGAGTCCATTCAGCCTGTGCTTCCCTTGTTCAACTTATGATGCCAATCATGCCAGTGATGTAGAACGACAGGCAGAAACATCAAATCTTCTTTCACTAGATTGCAGAGGATCAAATTAACACGATCGTTTATCTGTTGCCATTCACGTAATAGAATAATAGCTTTATGTTCAGGCAGATTTTAGATAAGTACTATAAATGTGTGTGCTGATGGAGACAAGATGCGAGCGAGCTGTGGGCAGCTGAGTTTTGGTGAGGGACGGGATATACCAAAGACTGGTTGCCAGCCAGTCACAGAGTACAATTTTGAGTCTTAGTGATGCTATGTAAGAAGGGGAGAGCATACAAACCCTTAACAGCAAGGCCAGTGCCCAGATTGGAACTCCCAACCTCAGAACTATGAGACAGAATTGCAAACCACTTGCTACCGTGCCGCCCATTTGTGTTTTGTGTTTTTCACAACTCTTGTGTATCCTAGAGGATACACGTTGAAATATTTCCCCCTTTCTTTCGTGTGATTGTGGCCAGTATGCGAATTTTCAAACTCTTGAGGTGTGACATGCCAGAGATTTTGACACATCTGGGAAATGATGGCAACTGAGGCCAAGGAGAGGTGGGAGGAATGCGAAGAGGAACACAGTGTCCATGGTGTGTGTGTGTGTGTGTGTGTGTGTGTGTGTGTGTGTGTGTGTGTGTGTGTGTGTGTGCGTGCGTGCGTGTGTGTGTGGGCGTGCGTGCGTGTGTCTGTGTGTTTTTGCTCCATTAGCTCTGACGTCAGAGCTACGTCTATGCATGCACCGGAGAGAAGGACATCCACTGGAATTGTTCTTGGCGAGACACTGAGAATGTAAAGTAGCCCAACCCTCCCTTCTCACAAGCTACGCTATAAATGTGCGCATTTGAGTGAGTGAGTGAGTGAAAAGAAGAGAGCTCTGGTGCGCGAAGTTCATTGCAAGGAAAATGCTGTTCACATTGTGTGTGTAGGCGCTCATCTGCGTCGCAATACCAATGGCTTGAATTATTGCAAAGTGTCTTGATTGCAATAGGAATGTGAACAATGAGAGCGGTGGGTAGGCGATGTTGGAGCGAGTGAAGATGTGACGCAGACCGGAAAAAGAGGGGGTGTTGTGGGTGTGCCTATTTTTAGCCCCTGGGAGGAGACACGTATTAGTCGCATTTCTATGCCCTGGCAGGCTGTGCTCTCCTCCGTGCATCATGTGACAGGTGGCAGCCCCGAAGCCCGGTTGCGCACCAGAGGTGTGACGTGAATACTAAAAAGGCCGGGATGAGAGATGCGTTTTGTACCGTCCAAAGAGCAGACCTGTTCTCACTGTCTCAACACGCTTGTTTGACAATGCAGCGGTGCAGTGTTCCGATTGGTTTTCTTACCAAGGACATCATACACGGAGGCCGTTGTGTTATTCTATAATTTGCACCAACTGATGTGACGCTGACTCGGATTTCAAATTCTGTGTGTTACCATGTCGAGCTAATCTGCTCAGGACTTTCATAATCAGCGTTGCTGCGATATCGGTCTTAAACTGTGTTCGCAATGTTAGCACGGTGGACGATTGGTTCGCACACCTGCTTTTCTGTGTAGCGGTTGCATGATCTCCACCACTCCAGATCAGGGCTAAGCAATTTAAAAACAAAGGGAGTCACCATTTTTTATTCAGCACTTCTGGGGTTCTCATAAGGCCGCACACTAACCAGATGACAAGAAATGGCATTTTAAATAAGGATTAAATACAGTATTAGCATATTTCTGTTTTTTTTTTCATTGAACGAATGTCGGCTACAAAACAATATCTATATTTTTATGCTCCAATGCATATTTAAAGATCCAGTCTTGAACATGACAAGAACCAAAAATACTGTATGCATCGCCCAGTCCTACAATTTTTTTTTTCTTTTATGATTTGGGGTGTTTTATTGGAAAGAAGCGCTTCACCTAATGACGACCTGAGGGACAAAAGTGGGCGGTACCTTCTCGAAAGAAGCCGTTTGTCTTGGACGACGCCTTCTTAGATTGGCTGTGAGTTTGGATGGGCGGGGCTTACCGAAGACCGTCTTCTGTTTTAGTAAAACGGTTACAGACAGACTAGTGATGACGACTCACGTGCTAGCTTCAGTTTCTCCCTCACGTTGACTTTCATCTGAAACCGTAGTCGTCGAACAGTTTGAGGGATGATATACTGATGGAACGTCACAGAGCGGTGTCTGTTTTTTAAACTGGGTATTTCAATTGCATTCCTTGCCTGGAGTGTGTATTTTACAAGGGGGCGTTGGTCCTCTCTGTATTCACAGCGGCTCCACGATGCGTCTGATCGTCGGCTCCAGCTCCATCGGTGGCCAGTTGGAGCTGGTCGTATCCAGACGGGAGACTCTGGACGGGCTGAGGACGCGGCTCTCTCGTCGACTTAATGTACACACAGACAAAATCATCGTGCTGCACCAAGACAAGTAAGCCTACGACACTTTCTTGTGCCCGTGGTGGAAAGTAATGAAATCCAACCTGTTTTTTTTCCCCCCGGGTATGTGTACGTTACTTGAGTATTTTTTTTCTCTGATGGCATTTTACTAATCAAGTAAAAAGACAGTGTCAAAAAGGTTTATACTTTCCAGTAGAAGCCACAAGATGGCGGCAAAGGCATACGTTTGTCTGATGGGAGCTCCTGAACTCACTTTAACGTCGTTAAATGATAGCTCAAAACAAACGAGGTGAGTTTTTCAGAGACTAATGTAGGATAGCACCGCCTGACTTAGTACTTGGAACTTTTTCCAGAGGCCTTTTTTTTTTTTTTGGTGGCACACACATCTGTATACTTGAGTACGGAGTGTGAGTACTTTTGCCCCCTCATTTAAACAATATAAAAATATTGTCTCCTCTTGCATTGTGATAGGCAATTGATTGCTGGCAAACTCGTGGAGCAGGGTGTAGCAGATGGCAGCAGACTGACTTTACAGGTGCCTGGAGTAGTCAAAGCTGGTTTATTTGTAAGTTTCCAAAACACAGAGAGCAAACACGACCAGACATTTTTAGTGACACGTCATATTCATTCATAATTTTCCTCCACAGTTTTCTAGTGCCAGAGTTGAGAGGATGGTGGAAGTTTTGGAGAGGTTAACGGAATGCGAGGTAAAAGTGCTGACTTTACTGCAGTGATTCCCAACTACTTTAGATATAGAAGTCCCTGGGTCAAAGTGGCAACTTTTTCTAACTTTCCAATGTTTCTTTCCCAACACTCACGCAGATCAGCGATTTCCTGTCCGGGCGTTCACCTTTGGCCATTAAACTGGCACTGGGTGTCCACACAATGCATGTGCAGCTGCAGCTGTCTGCTCAGGATGTGGCTAAGCTGAAGCTGGACAAAGCCTCGGGGGCTATTAGCAACCCACCCCCACAGGTCAACATAGGCCAATCTGCTTTGAGCTACTCCCCCAATGACACAACCACCACGTCGCCATCTTCTTCCCCCCCAGTCACATACGCCGCCGGCTCCACGCAATCTGACCAAGCTGTTTCTTCTATGGACTGCCACCGCCAAGCAACTGCCCGTCACTCCCGTCCACACGCCGCCACTCTTTTAACGCCTTCATTGCACTCCGCTTGTCCGCTTCCAGTCACCCCACCGGTTTGTTTCAATGACTCCATGATGGCACCTCAGAGTCCGTTACCTGCCTCCACCTTTAGAGAGGTCAGCCCTGTTCGATTGTATACATTTTTCTGCCCTGGACAAAAGACATGGTTCATAATCTGTTTTTTGATTTTTTTTTTAACAGTCTTTTCACTCATCCTCTGCTGAGCCGACCAAGCAACCAGGTGCAGTCATAGAAAGTTTTGAGAGTCACTCTCAAGGGGTTTTCTCTGGAACTTTCTCCGGTGAGCCCTGATTGATGAAGAATTGGTCATGATCTGCTGTTTCTTGTGAAGTGTGGTGCAAATATTGGGGGCTTGTAACTCAAATTTTTGATTGCTTGAAAATCACTATCTTTTAAATTTCATAGAAAGAATTTTTCATATATGTATATATATTTACACACACACACACACACACACACACACACACACACACACACACACACACACACACACATGCGATCAGTCCAGGGTGTCTCTTGCCCACAGTCACCTTGCCCACAACTCAGAAAATTAATAGAAAATTAGTGTCTGAAATTTCTAATTAAATTGGTGAAATCTTAAAAGTGCCAAGCATTTCTTAATTAGGCTCCGTAACAATACTGTAAATCACATGACAGCAAATGTCTAATGTAACCTGATCTGATTCCCCATCAGGCACCCTGGCGCCGTGCAGTCGCAGCGGCGTTAGCCATCGCCGCCGCGGCATCGCCGTTATTCTGCAGATCCTCGATGACCTGCTCAGAGCTGCCTCACAACACCAAGGGGCTCTAACATCCCTTTGTCCCGCTTCGGACCCTACAGCCCAGGGGCACAGCTGCAAACAAAGGGTCGAGCCCGTCAGTGAGGCCCTTGGTAAGCTCAGCCACGTTGTCACTTCCAACTCATTCACTGACCGCCATTTTCAGACTCTTCTTCACCCTACCACGTGACATATATTTTTGTCTTGTATTTGTTATTGGCAGTGAATGAGTTAACTCGGAACAAGACAAGCAATTTGCAAGTACAAGTTCAAATTTAGAAACACTACGAAATGAAGAGAAAAGTATTCTAGAAGTAAATTACCGGGATTACAATGTCATGGAGCAAATATTAGAATTGAGGTTGTCAGTGACATCACTGTTTGCGTGTTTAGACCAGCATAGGAAGCCTATAAACTGTGAATTGAATCGCCTTGTCGTCTTTTATCCATTGCTGAAGAGGCTTGCGGATTCCACACAAAGTCAGAAGAGAATCAGACGTTGCACTGCAAGCTAAAGCGTGTCCAATCTCTGATGGACCAGCAACGTCATCACAGGCAAGCTCGCAGAAGTTCCCACTTTTCACAATCAGCTCACCCGTATCAGCGTCACCATCGGCCCTGATCTCCAGAGGAGTGGACTTGAAGTTACGATGGGCGTCATCTCTTGTGCACATGCTGCTGTTTATTGAATTGTGAAAAAAAAACCACACACACAATTTGGGTCATTTAATTCCAACGTATCTTCCTTTGCTTATCCATAATTGAAAAGAACACATTGCATTAGACTTGTTGCCCGCAATACAATTAGGTTTTTCAAAAAAAGTATGAAGTTAATGCTTCGTTTTTTTTTTTTCTGCTATCCTGAGAGGCCAGTAGGTGGCAATGTTTACATTACCGGTATTTGACCCAATTTAGTAGCAGCCTTATAACCAGCTTGAGTCTTTTGCAGACTGCTTCAGTCGGTCAAGGTCATCCAACAAACACAACTAACTGTGAACTGAAACAACAACAGAAAAAGTGATTGTATTGTCAAAACATAGAGTATCATGTCTATGCAAAGGTCTGCTCAATAGCAACACGACAGCACAAAGTCCGGACGTGTTCTCTCGTCATCCATGTTGCTGAAATCTGAACGCGGGTGGACTCTTGTAGCCAATTTCATTAAAAACAGTGATCAACCAAAATATGTCTCAATTCCATCCATCCGTTTTCTCAAATGTTTATACTCATGAGGGTGATCTGCAGTGTATCCCAGTTTACTCAGGGCGAGAGGCAATGTACGCGCTACACTGGTCATCAGTCAATTGCAAGCAATTATTTGCACTCAGACTATTGGATCGTGGACCTGTCATGCATTTTTGGGTTAATGTGGGAGGAACCTGGAGTACATGGAGAAAACCCACACAAGCACAGGGGGAAAATGCAGACTCTGCACAACAAGGCCAGAGCAAAGTTTCAAACCCTGCCAACCACTGACCCACTGTGCTGCCAGGCTCAACTCCATTCTGTATTTACATATCGAGCCACTCTATGTGAAATGTAATTTGATCATTGATTTGACAACACGCCTTTCTGCTTAGCTCACCTTTCCGCAACATTCTACTTCCTCTTAATTCTGGATAAAAATGGACAGCCAGGAGGCTCTCAGACTCCACCGATTTCCAGAGTACGGGCACGTTCTCAGACAGTGCTTGTGTTGTTCTAAACATTTCTCAGCATAAAATGGGTGAATCTCAGTTTGCAGATTAGCAACAATGGAAAGCAGTGCCTGCCAGAGGCGTTATAAAATGTTGCTCGACTTGATTGAACTTGTATTAAATACTTGTGACCTGGTGGTGATCAGTGTGTGCTGGTGTTATCGAAAACACATTGCAGTGTGCGATATGGTCCTTGTGTACTTCCCAACATATTCTCCAGCGCATTTTAACGTTTGCAAGCATCTTCTTCGAAGATGTCCAGATGTACTGTAAACTGTTGTCTGTCCATCTAAAGACACAACTTCTAAAATGATTTATAGTATTTCAATTATAACATTCCTTTTTTTAAAATCAACACACAAAAACACATAACCCCGTTCAGAGATAACGGCTCCAACATTTTCAATATTTCCCCAAGCGTTTGATTTGTATTGTCATTATACCCCCAGTTCCTTTAGGAGGCGCTGTGAAGAGGAAGCAACCATTTTAAATAGCCGTTACGTCACTTCCGTCACATTAGGTCAGCGCCAAAGAGCGCCAGAGGCAGACTGCCTCCGTGGACCGTTATGACCTGCACAGTCACGTGACACGCATGCTTGCCTTCGGATTCTTTTAAATTCATGCGAAATAGTTGAATAAAAACACACATTATAACGCAGAAAGCATTTTGATGGTGCGAATAAAAAGAAACGGGATTTGGCCTATTAAAAAAAATCAAGCTAGCGTTCGTCTTTGTTCTTTTGAGATTATGTTAACACGAGGCTCAACCAGGAAATACACAAGATTTCGCAAAGTAATCGGAATCTACGTAACACGGATGGGATGAGTTTATTTCGTCAGAATTTATCATGCTGCGTTACAGGGAAAACATCACAATCGCGTATTATGACCCACAAAGCAACGTAATGGCGCTTTTTTCATTATTTTTTTCAAACCGGCGATACAACTGATTGTTGTTAGCCTCCTCATTTATTTGGTTTACATTTTTAAAATCTACATTGCGATATGAAAGAGAAGGCAGAAGTGAGCTTTACTGAGTAAAAGCCATCGCAAAGTCGACGAGTTAGTGAATCACGTGATCCGCCCCAATTGGTCCTAGCGGTCCACGGAGAGCTCCACCACAGTAAAACACTTGCACGGTCTCTTACCGCCCTCATTCCCTCGGCAGCTCCTCGCAACTGTTCGTGAAGTCTTCATCCTTCGAAAGGTAGTTGCTCTTATTTGCTTCTTTAGTGCGTCCGTCTTTTTAATCAGTACTAATTCTACAAAATCAAATACGTGTACCGTACAGAGTGGGTTTTTACAATGCTTTGTTGTTATTTATCTACGTTTGTGCAATGCTTTGATTTGGGGTTGTTTTCGGGGGGGGGGGACTGAAATAATTGTAAATC